TGAAGACCAGTGGAACAGAATGGAGGACCCGGATATGAATCCACACAACTATACCCACCTTATTTTTGACAAAGGTGCCAAAAATATATGATGGAGAAAAGACAGCCTCTTCAACAAATGTTGCTGGGAAAAGTGGTTATCTGCCTGCAGAAAACTGAAACTAGATCCATGTCTATCACCCTGTACTAGTGTCAACTCAAAATGGATCAAAGACCTTAATATCAGACCCGAAACTCTGAAGTTACACAGGAAAGAGCAGGGAATACTCTGGGAGTAATAGGTATAGGCAAGGACTTCCTCAATAGAACCCCAGCAGCTCGGCAACTAAGAGAAAGGATGGACAAATGGGACATCATAAAATTAAAAAGCTTCTGTACAACAAAAGAAATGATCTCTAAACTGAAGAGAACACCCACAGAGTGGGAGAAAATATTTGCCAGCTACACATCAGACAAAGGACTGATAACCAGAATATATAGGGAACTCAAAAAACTAAATTCTCCCCAAATCAATGAACCATTAAAGAAATGGGCAAGTGAACTAAACAGAACTTTCTCAAAAGAAGAAATTCAAATGGCCAAAAAACACATGAAAAAATGCTCACCATCTCTGGCCATAAAGGAAATGCAAATTAAAACCACAATAAGATTCCACCTCCTCCCTGTTAGAATAGCCATCAAAAACACCACCACCAACAGGTGTTGGCGAGAATGTGGGGAAAAAGGAACACTAGTACACTGCTGGTGGGAATGCAAGCTAGTGCAACCACTCTGGAAAAAAATTTGGAGACTCCTTAAAAATCTAAACATAGATCTGCCATATGATCCAGCAATCCCACTCCTGAGGATATATCCAAAAGAATGTGACATAGGTTACTCCAGAGGCACCTGCACACCCATGTTTATTGCAGCGCTATTCACAATAGCCAAGTTATGGAAACAACCAAGATGCCCCACTACTGACGAATGGATCAAGAAAATGTGGTACTTATACACAATGGAGTTTTACTCAGCCATGAAGAAGAATGAAATCTTATCATTTGCCAAGTAAATGGATGGAACTGGAGAACATCATTCTGAGTGAGGTTAGCCAGGCTCAGAAGACCAAAAATTGTATGTTCTCCCTCATATGTGGACACTAGATGTAGGGCAAAGGCAGTAATGTTGTTGGACTTGGGTCACATGCTAAGGGGAGAGCACATATGGGAGGTATGCGGATAGGTAGGAAACCCAAAACATGAAAGTGTCTGATGTCCCCACTACAGAGGAGCTAACACAGTAACCTTAATGTGTCAGAGGTCAATATGGGAAGGTGACCAGGAAGTAGTGAAGAGGTCAGGTAGAGATGAATCAACCTGGGCTGTAACACACTTATACATGGAAGCAATGCTAGGAATCTCTCTGTATAGCTATCCTTATCTCAACTAGCAAAAATGCTATGTCTTTCTTATTATTGCTTATGTCTTCTCTTCAACAAAATTGGAGAGAAGGGCAGAACAGATTCTGCCTGGAAGCAAGGGGGGGGGGGTGGGGCGAGGAAGAGGATCGGGGAGGGGAGAAATGGCCCAATGTATGCACATATGAATATATGACTAAGGAGAAAAATAAGAAAGAAAACCACGGCTTATCAGGACAGGAACGACTGTGAAAACCAGGACCAGGATCAGAAAACTTAAAAGTGTTACTGACAAATAAAAACTCCAGGGGTCCCATTCTGAAGGTGGGTCTCCATACTTTTATGAAGCTTTCCTAGGTTCTGTCAGAGAAAAGTCCCCTTGAGCTTCTGCCAGGGGAGTGGAAAAGCTGGAGCATTCTTTTTTTTTTTTTTTTTTTTTGTGGGACTGGGGTTGGGTTTGGACTCAGGGTTTTGTGCTTACAAAGCAGGTGCTCCACTACTTGAGTCACGTCTCCAGTTCATTTTGCTTTGGTTATTTTGGAGATGGGGGTTGGAAGTGGTCTCATGAACTATTTGCCTGGGCTGGCCTCAAACCTCAACTCTCCAAGTAGCTAGGGTAACAGGCATGAGTCACTAGCACCGGGCTCAGAGAACTCCATTTTTAACAAGGCCTGCCCTCAGGAAAAACTAACTCAGTAACTTAGGTCATCAAGAGGGCCTAACTGACTTGGGAAAGGGAAATAAATACTCAGCGCCAGCCTGCTCTGGCTTTCCTGCTTTACCTAGGGACTGGGAAGGAGGCAGAGGTGGGAGGACTGGGGGATGGCGGGAAGGGGAAGGGTCAGAGACTGAGAAGCACTTGTGAAAGTCATAGCTACCAGAACAGGTTCTAAGACAGCCTAATTGTAGGAGTATAGGAAGTTGTTCCCCACCTCCATTCCTTACCACCAAGAGAGCACTTGTATAATGACAGGGGAATGCAATACAAAAAACCCACACTATCTTAGAACTTATTTAAGAGGTCTCTAGGGAACACCAAAGGCAAGAGGGAGCCTATAACGATACCAGAAGAAACTTTAGTCTCTAACACAAACAATAAATATATCCTAACACCTAGTCAGAGTACCATAAAACCTTACACTAAAGACTTATTTCCTCTGTCCCATTTATCCATACATCTGACTTTTCACAAAAAGCTACATGGCAGGCCTGGTATGGTGGCACATGCATATAATCCTAGGTACTTAGGAGGCAGAGACAGGAGAATCATGATCTGAGGTGGTCTGGGCAAAAGCACGAGACCCTATCCAAAAAACAAATTAAAAAGGCAAAAAATACTGGGGGTGTAGCTCATGTGGCAGAGCAGTTACCTGGCAAGTGTGAGGCCCTGAGCTCAATCCTCTGTACCTCAAAAAAAAAGAAAAAAAAATTACACAGCACACTGAAAGACCACTACCACCACCAAAAAATACTAGTTTGAAGAGACAGCAAGCATCAGAACCATTTTAAACCTTTAAAGTTTTTGTGTGGGACTGGTGTTTGAACTCAGGGTTTTGTGCTTACAAAGCAGGTGCTCTATCACTTGAGCCACACCTCAAAATCCAAGGATCAGAACCAGACTCAGACATGGCAAAGATACTGGAATTTCTGACCAGGAATTTTAAAACTATGGCCGATACGCTATGGTTCGAAGGGAAAAGGTGAAGACGCAGGATCCGGTGCAAAATGTAAGCTGAGAGACAGAAATTCCAAGAAAGAACCAAAATGAAATGTTAGAAATAAAAAACACAGTGACAGAAACAGAGAATGTCTTTGAGGGGTTCATCGACAGATGAACTGAGTGAAGAATCGTGCACTTGAAGAAATATCAATAGAGGAAACAGAATGAAAAGGACAGATTATAATGTCCAACAATTGAGGAACAATTACAAAAGATGTAGCATACACATGAGAACAGCAGATAAAGAACAGAAGAAATGTGTGAAGCAATGACTGAGAATTGCCCAAAATTTATGGTAGACACCAAACCCAGATCCAGAAAGCTTAGAGAACAGCAAGCAGGATAAACACCAACACAAAACAACAGCACCTAGGTATATCATATTCAAACTGAAGAAAATCAAAGACAAAAAGAAATAAATGGAAGAGTAGGGTGTGGGAAGTAGGGCAGGGAACCTATCTCATGAGAAGCAAGGATTAAAAATTACATTGGATTTCCATTCAGAACTACATAAGCAAGAAGGGAATAGAAGGAAATATTTATAGCACTGAAGTAGGAAAGGGGGAAATTTCTCAGCAAAATTATCCTCCAAAAGGGAAAGAGAAATATACTTCTCAAACAAAAATTGACGATGCGAGCTGGTGCCTCACACCTATAATCCTAGCTACTCAAATTCAGAGAGAACAGGAGGATCGCAGTTTGAAGCCAACCCAGCAAATAGTTTTAAGAGACCCTATCTTAAAAAAAAACAAAACAAAATAGGGTTGGTGAAGTGGCTCAAGAGGTAAAGCACCTGTCTAGTAAGTGTGAGGCCCTGAGTTCAAACTCCAGCACGGGCAAAAAATAAAATTTTTTTGAGGAAATTTGTCAGCAGTAGACAGACCTGCCTTGCAAGACATATTAGAAGAAACTCTTTAGAACGAAAATGATAGTTCTGAAACTCAGATCAACATGTTAGAAAAGGAGTGAATGAAGAAAAAAAGATAGCTAGAATTTCACACAGTCCACTTTATGGTACTTTTGAGACTAGGGTGTTACCTGGGAATTAAATGTGTGGATAAATTCAGAAGACTGATCTGGGGGTGGAGACAGGAATGTGGGATGCTGGGAGCCACCCAGTGTGGTAGCTCAAATCTGTCTCAGCTTCTTGGGAGGATCCTGGTTGGAGACCAGCCCCAGCAAAAAGTTCGCAAGACCCCATCTCAACCAATAAAAAGCTAGGCTTGTGCTTGTCATCTCAGCTATGCAGGAAGCATAGATAGGAGGAATGCAGTCCAGGCTGTAGGGCATAAATGTGAGACACTATTCCAGAAATAGCAAAAGAAAAAAGGGGCTGGGTGTGTGGCTCAAATGGTAGAGAGCTTGCCTAGCAAGTGCAAGGCCCTGAGTTCATACCCCAGTACCATCACCACTCCACCCCCTCCCCCAAAAAAGGAAAAGATGTGTTGTTACTATGTCTGGGAATGGAAACAGCTCAAAGAATGGGCAGTGTCCCTACATGCTTGTAAAGTGGTCAAGGCAGGTAAGTAATTCAGCCAACGGTATGCCAATCCTGTGCTTGGTGACAGAAATAAGGAGGCACCAGGAAGGATATGAGGAGACAGACAAGTAAAACAAGCAGTTAATTCAGAGTTGGTGGAGTGACTAAAGTGGTAGAGAGCCTGCCTAGCAAGCATGAGGCCCAGAGTTCAAACCTCAGTACCACCAAAAAAAGAAAAAAGTAATAAAATAAATTCACTAGGCGCTAACAGAATTTTGAAAAAAAGAAACTTAAAAATATTTTAAAACATGATATAGGAAAGACAACACAGAAAAGCACAAAAATTACACATAATCCTAGAAAACCAAGCTGACAAGCTGATGCCGCTTTTTAAACCTTGCGTTTTTGTTTATTTATTTTGCAGTTCTGGAGATTCAACCCCGGGCTTGCTAGGCAAGCGCCCCACCTGGAAGCTCCATCCGCAGCCCCGCATTTGATTTTTGGACGCGAGCGCCCCCTTGAGTTTGCGAGAGGAACAACCGAATCCTCGCCGGCAGCCACTGCTGCGGAGAAAAAGCTTCGTAGACGCGGGTTGGGCGGCTGGGATTTCAGTGGGTCAAGACGATGGAGAGCGAGATGACGTGATCCCCGCTCTACAGATCGGGAAGTCAGGCCTCAAGAAGGGACCTGACTTCTCTGGAGGGTCAGCGAAGAGAAGAAGAAGCCGGGCAGCGCACGGGAACAGTCTCCACGACCTCAGCGACCAACGGAAGTGCCCCGCGGGCCGTGCGGGGGCGCGGCCCTGGAGCGACGTCACACGGCCCTCTGTCTGCCATTGGTTGTCTCTTACCGTTCCTTTCCGGGGCAAGGGAAAGTAGTCGCAGGACGGAAATGAGGTGCCCTTGAGTTCCAGACGGCGGCGACGTTTAAAGCCGAGGGGTCACGTGTCACTGGGACGGTCGGTGCCTCTATTCGGGCTCCACCCGAGCTAGGCGGAAACCGCAGAATTCTGGGAGCCTAGACAAGGGCCGCCAGGCATCGGGCGCAGTGATCCGAACCTCTACGGGCCGCCGGAGGAGGGGTCGGGAAGTGCCGACGGGAACTGCCGATCGGTCGCTGGCGGGGACCCGAAGGAACGGCCGCGGGGAGGACCCCGCCGGGATGGGCACGCCCCCGGGGGCCGGGCCGGCCACTTTGCGCTTTGCCGCGGCGGCCTGCTGGCAGGTTGTGCGCGGACGCTGCGTGGAGCATTTTCCGCGAGTCCTGGAGTTCCTGCGATCTCTGCGCGATGCTGCCCCCGGCTTGGTTCGCTACCGGCACCATGAACGCCTGTGTATGGGCTTAAAGGCCAAGGTACTGGAGCGAGGAGGACCTGGAAAGGGACGGGATGCTAGGATCTGAGGAGGGCCGAAAGGTTGGGAGGGAGTGAGACCTACTGGAAAAGGGTAGTTTGCCCTGAAGTGAGGATTCTGAGCTCAGTGTCGTGCAGGTGGTGGTGGAGCTGATCCTGCAGGGCCGGCCTTGGACCCAGGTCCTGAGTACCCTGAATCACCACTTCCCAGAGTCTAGACCTGTAGTGCGGGACCCTAAGGCTGTGAGTAATCCCTGGATAAGCCCTAACCCCTTACCCCTGGTGTACCAAAACTGCCCCTCCTCCCGGCCACTGTATCCTGGTGCTCCTAACTTTTCTGTCTTCCATATCCTTAACAGACAAATCAAGATCTGAGAAAGATTTGGGAAGCACAGGAAACTTTTTGCCAGCAGGTGAAGCGGCTGTCAGAAACCCCAGTGGATTTGGCTTCCAACCTGCAGGTGAGGCTAACTGGTTTGAAGGCTGGGTTGTGACTCTTGTTTTCTCTAATCTTTTTCTAACCTGCTTCTCTCTCTCCTGCAGGAACTTGAACAGGAGTATGGGGAATCCTTTCTTGTGGCCATGGAAAAGCTGTTTTTCGAATACATGTGTCAGCTAGAAAAAGCACTGCCTACACTGCAGGCACAGCAGGTTCTATTGGGGCCAAGCACATGCACTTACGGGCAGAGTGTGGGGTGCCTGTATCAAGGACTGTGGCCTTCATGCCTCTTTCCCTGTCCACAGCTTCAGGATGTACTGAGTTGGTTGCAGCCTGGAATATCTATCACTTCTTCTCTTACCTTGACGCAGTATGGTGTGGACATGGGGTGGCCACTTTCAGGTACCAGGAACATTTGGGATAACTAGAAACTTGGGCGGGGGGCAGGTAGTATTTAGCCTGGCACTATTTGAGTCAGTCCAATGAAGTTACATGAGCCTGAGACATAAGAAATCCGAGTTTTGTTACCGTCTGTTCTGTTTATAAAGAGCCCTGTTTTCTCTTTCAGAGAGCCCTGTTTCTGATCCAGTGAAAATGATAAGACAGCCCACAGAACAGACTCCTTCTCAGACTCCTCCTCAGCAACGAAAGTTGAAGCTGGCCCTCAGGGACCACAGTCCTCTACGGAAAGCTAAGCCTGGTCCTCAGGGACCAGCTTCAAGGAAGCACCCAGAACCTTTAGCAGGCCATCACTTCAATCTGGCCCCTCTAGGTCGGCGAAGAATCCAGTCCCAATGGACATCCACAAAGGGAGGCCATAAAGAACGCCCCACAGTCATGCTGTTCCCCTTTAGGAATCTGGCCTCACCAACCCAGGTCATATCTAAGTCTGAAAGCAGGGAAGAGCACTGGATACATTCAGCAGGTGCTGGGGGCACAAGAGCAGCCTCCTCTGGGAAGTCTAAGAGTCCATCTCAGATCCTGGGGGGAAGGGCTCTCGAGGAGAATCCAGTGGACTTATCCTCCTCAGAGCAAAAGGAGTGAGTGGAAAAAGACTTGCTTTTCTTGAAAGCACATTCTTTGCCTCCTTTTCCTTCATCCTCTCTTTTGTTTGCTTCCAACTCAGGAATTGCTCGGACTGTTCCATGGACCCCCTAGGACTATCTTTATCATCTCCTAGAGCCAAGAAGCCAAGTAAGTGGGCTGAATCAGGATTGGACCAGACAGCCTCTTTTCCTGGGGACTTCTCAGGTCCTGTGTTCACTTAGAGTAGTTTGATTGTGGTTTCCTTCCTGCAGTGTGTTCTCCATCTCTGTGCAGCTCTGTAATTACCATAGGGGATTTGGTTTTGGACTCTGATGAGGAAGAAAATAGCCAGAGGGAAGGAAAGGTGAGTAGGAAGGAGAAACCTAGGGAAAATAAGACAGAAATACATGTGCTCCAGAATAGGCGGGTCCAGAGAATGGTTTCCGATGATAGGATCTCCCTACTCCCTTCTTTACAGGAGTCTCTGGAAAACTATCAGAAGACAAAGTTTGATACCCTGATCCCCACCTTCTGTGACTTCACTTCTGGCCCCAGTGCCCTGCCTGCTCCTTCCCACAACCACACAGACAGCTCTAGACCCCTTTGATAGCACTGGAATGTCCTCTGCACTCTGCCAGCAGGTGGTGGGAAGGACATGGAAGAACAGACTTGGATTGCTTGACGGCATTGCTAAAAACTTGGTAATTGAGTCCCTGGAAGAATCCCTTTACTTTTTCACTTCTTTTGGAAAGTTATTCATATGTGCCCAGAAGAGTAGTTATCCTTGTGCTGTTCTGAAAATGTCCTAATGCCAGAATATGCTTTGTAAATTTTCATGCTGGGAGTGGTGGCACTAGAATGGAGATAATTCATGGGAATAACACTCATTGTCCTTGATCCCTCTGGGTCAGTGCTAACCCTACCTACATCCACCCTAGAGCAGTCCCCAGATGCTAGCCTTGTGCAGAAAGCCCAGCATTCCTTTATAGTCAGTGGAATCTCTTTATTGATGTATTTAAATATGTAAACATGTCAGAGCTTTTTAGATATTTGAAGATCTCATTTAATGAGGCTGATTAACAAGACATGATTGCAAAAGCCTGCCTCTACCAGACCAAGGCCATATGAAACATTTATGTATCAATCAGCATCTTTTTCTCTCGATAGTCTTCAGGATACTGAGTCCCCAGATCCTGTTTGATAATGAAGTAAGGTTGTCTTCTTCCTTGCTTTCTCCCCCTGCGTGCCCTGGGCATTTTGCAAGTGCAGATAGAGAAGTATAGTTACTGCAGGAGCCTCAGGAGTGAGCCAATAGGAACTGACCAAGTAATACACAGCCACACTAGCTGGGATGGGTGAAAAGCTCACTTGGAAGGCCTGCGGCAGAGTGCTGATGCCTTGAGAGGGCAGAACTGCTCAAGTCTAGCGTGAATCACTGAAGATTGGATTCACCTGCTGGGTGACTCTGATGAAGGTAGTTCTCCGGCTCAACTCTTTCAGCTTAGCTGCTCCCACATAGGTGCATGTAGATCGGATTCCTCCTAGAATGTCACGGATAGTATGTTCCACATCTCCTTTAAAGGGGACTTCCACTGTCTTTCCCTCTGAAGCCCTTGGAATAGGAAAAACTTATTACCTCCTTGTTCTGTTTCCCTTTTTTTTTTTTCATTTTTCTTTTATTATTCATATGTGCATACAAGGCTTGGTTTATTTCTCCCCCCTGCCCCCACCCCCTCCCTTACCACCCACTCCACCCCCTCCCGCTCCCCCCCTCAATAGTTCTGTTTCCCTTAAGTCCAATGACTATCTCCCCACCTCGACATTTTTCTATGAAAACTATGCCATCCACTTCCTAGCAACCATGCCACCACACATACTGTATAGTTGGCTTTTCCCTAAACCCTCAGCCGCTGGGCCTCTGCACGTACCTGTACTCAGCCACCCCGCCGGCATACTTCTTCATGGCCATTTCAGAACTCATTCCATAGAAGAGCTTGTACTTCTTACCGTCCCTCTCAATGAGCTCCCCGCCTGACTCACTGTGTCCAGCCAGCATGCCACCCAGCATCACAAAGTCAGCCCCTGCCCCTGCCAAAACAAGGAAGTGGGAAAGACGCAGGTGGTCAGAGTGCCCACATGGGCACTCTCAAAAGCAACTCATGCTAAATTATCAGTCCTAATGACTCCAGCATCTTCCCAGTTCGGTTTCCCTAGCTGACCCACAATCCATACAGGTCTACTCTGCCCTGGCCTCTAGTCTCCAGGGGGCCTGGTTTCCTCAACATTTTTAAAAGCCTCTGGAGCTTTCCAGTCTAGTGTCTGCTCTTTTGCTACTATCGCCATCTTCTGATCATATGGTTTTACTGTTCCCAGTTGAGTAAGACCACCTGTCCCAAGTAGGTCTCCCACTTGAATACAAGGATCACCTGAGAAACGATTTTTGTAGGTCTGGGGTGGAGCTCTGGAATCTACACTGTCCAGGGGACAGTTTGTAAGATGGCCCTGGCTCACACTTGTGAGAGTCAAAATCAGAGTCCACATTTCCCCTTCTGGCTTGCCCCAGATCATACCATAGGCTTTAGTCTATGTATCATCTGAGTGGCTTCCTGAGCCTCTCCTAGCCTGAGCCTAGACTTTCACTGGTAACTCATCCTTTCCTACAGGATTCTCCTTCCATGCCCTCCCATGCCCTCCCACCCTCCTTACCAAAAGCCTTGGCCACATCCCCAGGGCAGCTGCAGCCTCCATCCTACAAAGTAAGAACACTCTGAGAAGACAGCATGGGTTTCCTAAACCCTCTCAGTGAAGTCCCAATGATCCACCTCAAAGTGGATAGGAACTCAAGAGTCCTGGCCCATCTCTATCAGAGCCTCTCCACTGCAGAAAACCCAGCTGTGTGGCTGCCTCATACCCTCCCCAGCCCATGGGCCTTACTGAAATGATGTGGCCTTTAAGGCCATGTGCAGCATCTGCACACTCCATCACTGCACTGAGCTGCGGGTACCCCACTCCAGTTTTCTTCCGGGTTGTACACACAGAGCCTGGGAAGAACATGCAAGAGTGAGATGAAGTGCTCTGTGATGTTCGCCACTGAAGGGGGAAGCCAGTGGTCTTGATGAATCACCTTACCTGGCCCAATTCCCACTTTGATGATGTCAGCCCCAGAGAGGATTAGCTCTTCCACCATCTCTCCTGTTACCACATTCCCTGCCTGAGACACAGCAATCAAAATGGAGCATCTTAGGGTCACAGATGAAGAGGAGCTTTTGTACTGTCACCTATCATGCCTAGACTATGATACTTCAGTGTTACTACAAAGTAAGGGTACCCAGGTCCCCTCTATGGGACCCTCTGAGGGTTTCTAATACTAGCTTCTTCAAAGGACCCTGCTTCCCACCAGGCTGGGGTTTTGTTTTTTCTAGGTTTTTTTGTTAGTACTGCAGTTTAAACTCAGGGCTTCGTGCCCTGATATCTGCCTCCTGGGTAGCCAGGAATACAGGCGTGAGCTATCGGTGCCCAGCAGGATGGGGTCTTCTGAAGGATGAGGGAATAAATGGCCAGTGTCACTGTTGGTTTTTGGGTAAAGCTGAGGTCTAGGATGCACTTTTACTGCCTTAGGCAACAAAGCAGAGTAACAGGGAGATATGAGGTGGCATGGAAGAGCATTTGGTAAGGCAAAGGAACTATAGACCAAGCTCAGATCTCATTTCCAATAGAGTTTTCTCTCCTTCACCACTAGGTTACTCCAACATACCCAGTCCTGAAGCTCTCTGGCTTCAGGAAAAGGGGGAAGACATAGAAATGTAGGCTAAATACCCATCTGCCTAGCTGGATTTGCTCTTGATGAACAGTACAGAGACATCCCCTTCAATGCTGTGAAGAAAATAAGGCCTTGTCACTGCTTCCCTTAAAATCTTATAAAATATTGTTTCATGTTATTGTCTGTTTTATCTGTGTATTTCCATTTCAGTGGGCAGATACATTTGTACCACAGGTATGTATAGTGCATAAATATCTCATGGTGATTTTTTTTTTTTTTTTTAATTTTTTACAGTACAGGGGCATGAACTCAGGGCCTTCACCTTGAGTCACTCCACCAGCCCTATTTTTGTGAAAGGTATTTTTGAGATAGGGTCTCGCAGAACTATTTGCTCAGACTGGCTTTGAACCGTGATCCTCCTGATTTCTGCCTCCTGAGTAGCTAGGATTACAGACATGAGCCACCACTACTGGGCTCATGGTTTTTTGAGTGATGTCAGGGACACCAGATTTACAGACCATGAGTCAAGGTTCAGAAATTCTACATTGATTAATACACATTTACAGCTTAAAACCATGAATAATCTCCCAATTATAGTATGTGGATTAGGAATATCATAATGCAGCAGAGAAGAAATAATTCAGTATCACAAAATGGAGTGTCAGGGAAAAAATAGGTAGAGAGAATACAAGATAACAAACATACCATGATGGTGTGTTGAGGGAAGTGCTTCCGTACTTCCTTTACAAATTCAACAAAATGTTCAGAGTAGCCATTTGCCACATCCAGGCATATGTATTTCACCTGGGGAATAGCTTCCAGGATCTGTTCCAGCTGCTCAAAGTCAGAAGAGCCTGTACCTGAGCTGGCAGCCAAATACTGTAGGAGAAACAAGGCTACTGCATGAGAGACATCAGAACAACTCATGGCGTCGCACCAGAGATGATCTGGTGAGCAGCCAATGAGTTAAAGGTGAGAGTTGGTCCCCAAGATGCCCACCCAAGTTCAAGTTAAAGGTTTCCTAGAAAACTGGGATAAGAAAGGGAGCAGGGTAAGCCCAATGTTACCTCAAGACAGTCAGGATTCTGGCTAGCAAACTCTTGCCACTGATGGAGGCTGTAGTGTTTATGGACAGCAGTGAAGAGGGAGAACTGGGGACAAGAAAGGTAACAGTTAAAAAGAAGACCTTATTGAGATCGCATCTAGAAATAAACCTTTATATTATTTTGAGAAAAAAAATGGCGGGAGTTTGGAAGGAAAGCAATTTGAAGCACTTCATGGTTGAGCTGGGATTTGGGTTCGTTATTCTCCCTACAAATCTCAGTATGACTTAAACTAGTACTAGTAAAATATTCTATCCAGTTGACTGAAGTGCTAAGTCAACTGGATTAGATTTCACCTGCCAGCATATATGGTGTTTCTGACCTCAAAGGCGGCAAGGACGTGCGGTTGGTAAAGTGGGGAAGAATGGAACAAGCAATAGAGGGACCATGGAGGAGCCATGACAAGACCAGATGGGGCCAGGGTTTGCTGCACTTACTTAACCCCTCCTAAGGTACCTAGTACTGATCTATTTTTGATATTCTCTGCCTTGGTTGCCAACAGTAACGCAGTGAGTACCTAGATGCCCATACAAGTTAGGCCTTAAGGAGCCAATATGGTGATATCCCATCCTTGCTCCATTTTTACTGGAGGAAAGGACAAATTTTTGTGTTGGGGACGTAAGCATGAAAAAAATCAACTTGAGAGATATAACGACTCAGGCTGATAATCTAGCTCAACAAATTGCAGACAATATCCTAATCCTTTTAGAAAGGCATTCAGAAGTCACTGGGAGGGCTGGTGTTGGTGTTTTAAAAGTACAAACATGCAAACAGATGAGAGAGATGCAGCTGGCTGAGACAGCACAAATCTTCCACGTCAAGAAACCCAAAGAAGTCACGTGTGAGGGAGAAACAGGAAGTGCTATACTTACTCAGAAATTATCAACACTGTCCAGCTAAAGCTGCTATTGAATTCTGCATTCTCAACAACATTCTACTTTCCACATGTTGATAGAGAAGAGTCACTCCAGGAGGTCAACTGGTCTTGGAGACACACTGGTGTAATGTGGCACAACAAGCACATCCAACACATACCAAGCAAAAAAAGATGTTTGCTTGCACCCAACCTTTTCATTACTACTGTGAGACTTGGCTCTGTCGCTAAAATCTGATTTCTTTAGCACTCGCCCACAATACTGCAAACCAGCCCCTAACAAGGTTCAGGTATTGCACCATGTCTGTTAACTCAACAGTCAGGTTAACCATTCTCCAGGTCTTCTGGTCAGGGCAGGCCAAACAGTGGGCAGCAGCAGATTCCTAAGCAGTTAGTAAATTAAATGGTAACAGGAAAAAAGTAATAGAACTGTATAACTGTTAAAAAACACTGCTTAACTATCAACCTCAGAGAAATGACAACAGACATTCCACAAAGACACAGCAGTCAAAACTAGGGATGGAGATAAAGTCCTTAAGGTTAACAGAGCCATAAACAGCAAAAGAATCCATCAACTAGTGCTACAGGGACTAACCAGCAGAGTACCTATGTTCTCAAAAGGTCCAGGTAACTACCTTCTCAGCTACAAGCACAGATGTAGGTAATATTACTGACTGGAGCACTCTGTTCCATTTTCAAAGTGAATAACCTGTACATAAAAAAAACACATTCCATTTGGGGCACATCCCAGGAACTAGAACTTAAGAAGACTTTTTTAAAAGAAGGATAGCAGACATAAAAGAAAATTAGTAAGATGCTTTTCTTAGGATATTCTACTCAAATTTTAGTTTCTAGACTAAAACAGTGAGTCCTTAATGTTGCACACGAGGTGACTTAAGGAATGCATGTGATTGGGAAGGGGATGAGTGAGTGGTGGGAAAAGTTGGTGTATAAACTGTTAGGAAAAAGAGAAAGTTCTGTTCATATAACAGAAAGACAGGGCAAAATTTAACTTTGGGTCTAATTCAGATGCCCTTCCTCCCCTTTTTATTTGACAGTTCTAGGGTTTGAACTCAGGGTCTGGAGCTTGCTAGGTAGGTACTCTACCTCCCAAGTCACACCCCTAGCCCTTTTTTTGGCTTTAGTTATTTTTTTTGATAGAATGTAGTGTTTTTGCCCAGGCCAGAATTTCAGTCTTCCTCTCTATGCTTCCCAGTAGCTGGAATTACATTATAAACCACACCCAGCTTGTTCGTTGAGATAGGATCTCACTGACTTTTTACTCTAGCTGGTCTTGAAGTGCAATCCTTCTGATCTCCATCTCCCAAATGGCTGGGATTACAGCCATCATGTCCAGCCATCAGATGGCCTTTTAAATAGATTGGCTGGATGGGGCTTTTAGTACTGAACAAAATAGGAATTCGAACATCCTAACTGCTAATTGCCAGAGAGCTGACTGGGAACGAGAGTATGGATATCTATAGCCAGCTGGGCTAACTGAACAACAATTAGGTAAGACGTATACTGGGGAGTCCCACCTTACAGAGAACCTTGGCCATCTCAAAGGTTCCCACAGTATCCATATTAGCGGCAATGATGGGGACACCAGTGTACGTCTGCTTTGAGTTCCGAAATGAAAAAGATCTTGAGAGATCCACCTGCAGATATAAACAAACTGATTATTCACCCAGAAAACATGTATCACACAGGACAAGAACCGGGCATCACCCCAGTACTCATACACACACATACAAAAAGAAACAAGCATCTTTCTTGGTCCTGTCTCACCAGGCGTTTGTGATCCAAAAAAAAAAGTGCAAGGAGAGAAGTTGGCTCACCTCGCTTCGAGATTTAAGGGTGCTGCGTTTGGGCCTCAACAGGACATCCTTGAAGTCCAGTTTCACATCGTTGTCGATATGAGGCATGGTGCAAGTCACGAATCTGAGGGCTGTAAAGTAGGAAGTCAGAAGGAAGGCCCTGAACCAATATCCCTTTAGGCCTTAATGTCCTGATCGGGCTAGGGCAGAGTCCATCTCTCCCTCGTTTCAGTTGTGAAAGGCCGGGTCAAGCCTGTGGGTGGGCCTGTCCGGTGGTTGCGATTACCCTCGATGCCTCCATCAGGTATTGTTAGGAAGAACTGGGAAGGGGCTGTGAGCAACCCTGAAGGTGTATTCCTTATCCTGTTCCCTTCTTTCTCCCGCCCCTGCAAAGGGCAATTTGGAGTAAGAGGCTGACGGTGTGGGAGAAGGAACCAGGAGGTCTCAATCAACTTCCGGCTTAGGGGCACTCACTTCCTGTTGCCTCAGCCCAGGTGGCAGTTGATCAAAGATTCCCTCGGCTTTGCAACTAGTTTCGTGTAGCCCTACTGAGCCCTGTGAGCAACGCCAACAGGTTCCGCTAATTGCGGGCTAGAACGACTAACCGAGGAATTCCACCTTCTGTGAGGTCTTCTGGGTAATAGAGTTCACACACTGAGGTTTCAGTTGGGTTCCAGCTCCGGGGAACTACAACTCCCAGGGTGCAAAGAGCGGCTCTGTCTCCTCTAGCATGATGGGAAGAGTAGTTTCTTCTGCCCCCACCTTTCCGCTAGCCCTGGCTGGGTAGGGACGATCAGAATCACAGAGGCGTCACCTCTGGTGTAACTAAATTGACTGCCTTCTTTTTTGTTTACGACGCTACTGAAAGAAAACACGAGAGCATTCCCGAACTTTACGGAAACGCCGTGGAAGGAGGAGAGGGTGGAGCTAGAGAGTGACCCGGAAACAGAAGTGACTCTCACAGGCGGAGTGCTGGGAAGCGGTATCGGCGATCGCAGCGGGAGAAGCAGCAATTTATCTGCTTGCAGCCCCAACCTGGGAAGAAGATGCTAATTAAAGTGAAGGTGGGAGCACTTGCAGGCTTGCCAAGACTCTGTAGTAGTGGGCCGGCCGCTGCGCCTTACGGGAGAAGCAGGGAAGGAAAACCATGCCTGTCCCTGAGCCGGGAGAGCGCAGGCATCCCCCGGACGCCGCGCGAGGCGTGATGGGAAACAGGGGGACCCTAGAAGGCTTTGAGTGCTGGGTGCTGGCCTGCTTGACGATCCCAAGGTCTCTGCCTTCCCTGCTTTCTTGGCAGGACTGTCTTGACCCGGGAGGAAGCCGCTTTTACCCGGGATCCCACTTATCTGAACCCCCGCAAGCATAAAAAAGCCTTAGCAGGGGCTGGGGGTGTGGCTCAGTGGTAGAGCTCTTGCTTAGCATGAGAGAAGGCCCTGGGTTCGATCCCCAACACCGGAAAAGAAAAAAAATCCTTTCGGGTTTTTGGGAAAAAGCCCTGCCCTCCGTTCTTCAAGCAGGGTTATCTGCTTCTTCCAGCCCCTAACATTTTTGACTGCCTCCAAACACAGCACTAAAAGCATTAGCTTGGGGAAACGGGGGACCGACAGGAGCTAGACTGTGAGCCATTGCTGGTGGTCGTCCAGGGGCGGCATCCCAGCCGTCCTCCAGGGCTCGCGCTGGGAGTGTGTTCACTCGGCCCTGCCTGTCAGCCGGGCCTCCGGAGCCAGTCTCGCTTCCTTGACTGAGGCAGGTTTTAGTGCTAGCCAGGTGTCCATCTCCCCTCTCTCACCTCCCGGAGTTCTTCATCAATTTCTGTTTCTTCCTTTGTACTTTTAGACAGAAAGACAAAAAAAAACAAAAAACCTTACAATTGATGCAGACCGACACTAGCTTGGCCTTTTTATAGCTACGTACTTACATCGTTTCATCAGCTTTTTACCATGTGTAATCGCCATTGTTAACCTCTTGTTCCCCAGTCCTTCCACACTGAGGCCAAAGAGCGTGTTGAAGATCATTGTTTTTCAAACTTTAATGATTATAAAAAAGCTGCAAGCACCGTTTTATTTATTTATTTATTGGTGGCACTGGGGTTTGAACTCAGGGCCTCACGCTTGCTAGGCAGGCGCTCTCTACCACTTGAACCACGCCTCCAGCCCATCTAGTGTCCTTTCTTGTAACACTTTTGCAGATCTCTCTGCCTCCTTATCTTCCTTATTTGCTGCATTTCTCTATATATTAAATATGTATGAAAGCAATTGGTTAACTGTTGATTACTAATATAAATGATAGTTTTTATTAGAGTTCCCTAATAAAATTGCTCATTTTTGAACTATTCATTTTTCGCTATTCATTTTTCAGCTATTGTCTCTGTGTAGGTAATTTCCTGCATATCTTTCTGTAATCTTTTACAATTAAATCCATCCTTCCCTGTCTATTTTTATTTATTTTATTTTGCATTGCCTAGGGCTTCTTGCATGCTAGGCAAACACTCTACCACTGAGTTACAAATCCTTCCTAATTCAATTTTTTTGTCATCTTATCTCTGTAGTCCTAAAATTAAGTGCATTATCTATTGTAATTTATCTTCCCAGTACCCATCTCTGTGTCAATCCCATGGGCTTGCCAGCTCTTTGGTACATAATTCTTTAGAGTCATTTCCACTTTATAGGACCTTATTTTTTCATATGAAACCAATTTCTGCTTTATCTTTTTCCATTCTCATTTTCCTTATTCTAGCCTGAGATCTCATTACCTTCTATCTTTATTTCTTTCGGCTATCTCCAACCAGGTTTCCCTACTACACTTTAGGCAATCCAAGATATGGTTTAAGAAGCCATAGTGTGTGTCTTCCTCAAGCTTTTTTTTCATCACATCACTCCCTAACTACTGGAACTGCATTGCTTTCTATGTTGCAGATTACTTTGGCAATTGTCTTTACTTTGTGAGCCTGCTTTCTCATTTTGTTTTTTTGAACAGTATTGGGATTTGAACTCAGGGCCTTGTGCTTGCTAGGCATGTACTCTACCACTTGAGCCATGCCCCCAACCCTGTTTTTTTACTTCTTTATTTTTCAGATAGGGTCTCAAGTTTTTGCTCAGGGCTAGCCTCAGTACTGTGCTCATTCTGCTTGTGCCTCCCCAGTAGCTGGGATTACAGACATGTACCGTCACTCCCTGCTTGTTGGTTGAGATGGGATTGGGCTGACCTTGAACAGAGGTTCTCTCATATTCTTTTCTTGAGTAGCTGAGATTACAGGAATGCACTCCATGGCCTTTTTTGTTTTGTTTTGGGTACTGAGGCTTGAACTCAGGGGCGTACACCTTGAGCCATTCCTCCAGACCTTTTTTTGTGAAGGTTTTTTTTCAGATACAGTCTGTCAAACTATTTCCCCAAGCTGACTTCAAATGAGTACTGAGCTCTGCCTCCTGAAAGCTAGGATTACAGGTGTAAGCCAATGGCACCTGGCTTTGTTTTTGTTTTTGATACAGGATCTCACTGTGTAGCCCAGGCTAGTTTCGAACTTTTGATCCTCTTCAGCCTCCCACGTTCTGGAATTATAGGTGCACACCGCCGCACTCAGTGCTCAATGAGTTGGTTTTTCTCGTGCTCAATCTTACCTTTTTTTTTTTTTTATGGTGCTACTAGAGTTGAACTCAGAGCCTTCACCTTCAATGAGTTTTTAGCAATAGTATAAACCTATGTAACTACAAGCTTTATAACATATTCAACCCTACCTGAGTGCTGTGGCTCATGCCTGTAATCCCAGCTACTCAAGAAGGGGAGATTGAGAGGGTCTTGGTTCAAGGCAAGCCTGGGCAAAAAGCATGAGCCTGTATCTGAAAAATACTAAAGTAAAAGGGACTGGAAGTGTGGCTCTAGTGGTAGATTGCTTGCCTAGCAAGCATGAGGCCCTAAACCCAGTACTACCAAAACACCCCAAAACAACAAAATGCCAAAAAACATGTTCACTCCTATCTCCCAAAAGTTTTATGCATTAGTTTTGCCAGTTGTAGAGCTTTATATATATGTAATTATGCAACATACAATTGTGTCTGGCTTCTTTCAGTAGTGTCTGTTATTCTGTGTATCTGTAGTTTTGTTGTTTCTTATTACTGAGTAGTATTCCATTGGATGATTAATTCTGTTACAGTTTGTCTCTCCAGTCTCCTGTTGAGAGGCATTTGGATTGTTTCTAGTTTCTGGCTATTACAAGTAAGACTGGGTATTGTTGTATAGTCTTTTTGTGGGCAGGTGGTTTCATTTCCTTTGGCATGGAATTACTAGGTGATGTGATAGATATATGTAACTTTAAAAAAAAAAAAAACTTCCAAACAGTTCTCCAAGGAGTTCTATAACCTGCAGAATCTTAATGTTTCTAGTTGCTCTGCACCCTTGCCAACATCCCCAGCCCTCTTTTTCTTTATTTTGAGATAGGGTCTTGCTGAGTTGCCCAGGCTTGTCTGAAACTTATGATCCTCCTGCCTCAGCCTCCCAAGTAGCTAGGATTACAGGAGAGTACTACCACACCTGGCAAAGGAATATATTTTTCTGAAAAATATTTAGAGGCTGATGGAGTGACTCAAGTGATAGAACGTTTGCCTAGCAAGCATGAGACCCTGAGTTTAAAAGAAAAAGAAAAAAAAATGCCGAGACACAGATACCTGGCCGTACTTGGGGCTGGGGATGTAGCTCGGTGGTTGAGTGTTTGCCTAGCATGAGGCCCTGGATTCAATCCTTAGTACTGCAAAAAAGAAAAAATAAAATTAAACATATTTCTCCCTTCGGCCCCAACCCCTTCTCAAAGGTAATCACTATTGTAAGAGATGTGTATACTCCTAATTCTTTTTTCTATACATATGTGGGAGTATAGAAAAGGACATAAAATTATACATTCTTTAAATCTTGTCAGTGTAAGCTGTTATAGGAAACATTCTATGAATGGACGATAACCTAATGATTTTATTGTTGTGCATTATTAGGCTGTTTCTAGTGATATGTTTTTACAAATGGTGGCAGTAAGTCCCCCATGTGCTTCTGGAAACGCCCAAGTTTTTCCTCTAATTCAGTTACCTAGAAATGGTATTGTCTAGTTGAAAAGTCTTTGCATAGCCAGCACTGGTGGCTCATGCTTGTAGTCCTAGCTACTTGGGAGGCTGAGATGGGGAGGATCACAGTTTGAGGCCAGCCCTGGCAAAATAGTTCATGAGACTCCATCACAAAAAAACTCTCATCACAAAAAAGTGCTGGCAGAGTGGCTCAAGAAGTAAGAACGCCTGCCTAGCAACTGTGAGGCCTGAGTTTAAATCCCAGTGCTGCCAATAAATAACCAGAGCAAAATGGACCAGACGTGTGGCTCAGGTGGTATAGTGCCTGCTTTGCAAACGAAGCCCTTAGTTCAAGCCCTAGTCTCATAAAATATAAAAAGTGTTAAGATCAATAAAGTGAAATAATTTGTGGACAACACAGAATTCTAAACCTTTCATTTTGTTAAGGAAGGGTTTTTTTTAAAGCTTGTATGATGGTACACACCTGTAATCCCAGTACTCAGGAGTTCAGGACCAGCCTGAGCTACATAGTGAGACCGTCTCAGAAAAAACACACACAAAATCCAACTAGCTGTGACTGGTATTAGTGAATGAGTCTAGGTGTCATTAAAGGAATACCCTTCTTTAATGAAGGAGGGTATTAAAACAAGAATAGCAGAAGCAAAGGAGTGCCCCTAAACTAGACCATATGTGATGCGTTGATGGTCTGGACCACTGTAGACTGTTGCAGATAGACTTTTAGAACAAGCACAGCCAGGAGATTGGATTGCTTGGATCACAAATTTATAACCTGTACATTAGTATAGTTATTATGTTTGGATATCAGCCATTTTTAGCATATGAAAGAATTCAAGATGAGAACTACAATTTAGGATTTAAGTAGAAGTCTGGAAGAGATATAAAAGAACATAATGTGGAATTCCAGTGTTAAAAAACTGGTCAGAAGCTGGGCACTGGTGGCTCGCACCTGTATTCTAGCTATTAGGGAGGTAGAGATTAGAAGGATCCATGGTTTGAAGCCAGCCCCAGCAAATAGTTCTCAAGGCCCTACCTTGAAAATACCCATTACAAAAAAGGGCTGGTGGAGTGGCTCAAGGTTAGCCCCTGAGTTCAAACCCCCATACCACCAAAAAAAAAAAAGAGGACACCTCTCACTGCCATATAATCCCCCAAAAAACTGCTGATAGATGACTTGTGGGATAAGAGAATTAGGTTGACTCACAGAATCTTCCCTATCAAAATGTGCACAGTTTAAAACTGCTTGATGAACACAGGTGTGAGCATAGCCTCCTGATTCTCCAAAGCAGTGTTGCTGAGGAATGTGAATCTCTGAGAAGACAAAAGTCCCCAGAGGCCAGGAGAGGATGTTTTACCTAGAAGACAAAGTACATTTTGGGCTATAGGATTGATGAAACCTTTGCCTATTTCAGACACTGACCGGAAAGGAGATTGAGATTGACATTGAACCCACAGACAAGGTGATGTATACCCAACATCTCTTCCTCCCCTTCTTCTTGCTTTGTACCTTTATTTGAGTATGCTTATGAACTTGGTCCTTGTGCTTTTATGCCATCTGCACAATCCTTGCTCTTCCAATTTTCCTGGTTTACATGGTTCTAAGCAGCCTCTGACTATTTGTCCTTGCAAAGGTGGAGCGGATCAAGGAACGTGTGGAGGAGAAAGAGGGAATCCCCCCCCAACAGCAGCGGCTCATCTACAGTGGCAAACAGATGTGAGTATGGATGATGAATGAGGACGTAGCAGTCTTAAGTGAAGATGAGTAGGGAGCAAGTGCTGGAGGTGAATCAGGCCTACCTTTTCTTTTTTTTTTTTGTGCCTTGGACCCTTTGGCAATTTAATGAAGTGTGTAGGATTTTGGAGTAAGATGTTTCTCAGGCATGGAACAAAATATATAGAATCACAAAGGAAACTAGTTATACTGAAATACAGTTATCAACCTATTAAAGCAAATTTGTGGTATAGCAATATGTGTGCTTCTTTACTAATGTATTAAGTAAGACCCAATGGTGGGTCTAATAACTATTTTTCAAGATACCTGCAAACAATTGTAATGTGACATGAAAATATCTAATTTCTGTATTAGCAAGTTACCCATATGGTTAATGCCATGGGGGGTGTGTTTAAATTTTAAAAATATTAAGTTTGTTATGGATTAATTAAGAAAAGATGGAATTTTTTCTCACCTAAGTTCACAGACCTCCCTGGTTAAGAAAATGCCTGTTCTAGATGGCATTTTTAATGCTTTTTCCCCCAGGAATGATGAGAAGACAGCGGCTGATTACAAGATTCTAGGTGGTTCAGTTCTCCACCTGGTGTTGGCTCTGAGGGGAGGAGGTGGCCTTAGGCAATGATGGACCTTCCCTCCCTTTTACCTCCTTACCCTGTTGCTCATAATGAGGCATCACATATCCTGTCGCTCTCTGGGACACCAGAGCCACCATCCCGTCCCCTGGATGCCCAGTCTTGTGTGTCTACTGGTGGGAGAATATGAGGACCCCAGGATGCAGTGTTCCTGGCCCAAAGGGCGCTTGCTGGCTATTGGGATGTCGCTTGCCATCCTGTGTGCTTCCCTCTCTTATGGCTGTGTCCCTGTTTGTCAATAAAATATTTCCTGGCCTCTTGGAATCTTTCTTCTGTTGCCAGATGTGACTGAAATGAAAATGGACCAATGCTAACCAGTTACATCAGGCAGAAGGGAAAGGAGGGGCTGGTGCTCTTAGAGGGATTATCAGACTCTGGAAAAGCCTACTCTCAGTGCTGTGCTGGACAGCCAGCTCTTACTAGCTCATGAGAGCCACTTATTGCCACTCTTCCCATCTCCATGCTAAGTGACTGTGTGGAAATTGGCAAATACGACAAACTAGTCCTCCACAAACTAATTATACATCTATCAGCATAGTACTGATAAGATGGTAGAAACCAGAATGAGTTCTCTCCCATTGTAGCTCTGATGGGCATTTGGGCCTAGCTGGGGAAACCCTTAGAGTTTTAGGGGGGGTTTTTTTGGTGGTACTGAGGTTTGAACTAAAGGCCTGGTGCTGGTGCTTGCTAGGCATGCACTCTACAACTTGAGCCATGCCCCCAACCCTCCGAGCCTCCCCTTTTTGGGAGGTGACACAAGTTTAAAACTTTTTTTTGTTTTTTGGATTGAGGCTAGAACTCAGGACTTTGCACTTGCAAAACAGGCACTAAACTGCTTGAGCCACACCTCCAGTCCCCCTCTTTTTTTTTTTGGCAGTGCTGGGGTTTGAACTCAGGGCCTACACGTTGAGCCACTCCACCAACCCTATTTTTGTGATGGGTCTTTTCAAGGTAGGGTCTCATGGACTATTTGCCTGGGCTGGCTTCAAACCATGATCCTCCTCATCTCTGCCTCCTGAGTGGTTTAGGATTACAGGCGTGAGCCACTGGTGCCTGGCTAAAGCATGTATTTTAAATACAATTTGTGACTTCATCAGTGAGCAATAAATGGTTCAAATGAGCAGTTCCTTATATAAAGATCCAAAAGGCCTGGCACAGATTAAATCAATTTTAAAAGGAAAATATTAAAGCTATGTTTCCTGTTATATACACATAAAATACAATTGATAAAATGCTTAATCTGCCAACTTGGGAGGCCATGCGGTGGGGTAGGGGTGCACAGCTACTTGCTTTGCCAGCAGAAACTACAGGGGTCTGGCCTTCTACCCCCTTCTGTTCAGATACCTAAACGGCACATGTGCACCTCCTGAAGAAATAGGACCCCAGAGGATTCTTGAGCAAAGTTTCCCTAGGTAGGGCTGGGCAGGCAGGTTGGCCCTGGAAGGGGCTGATGGCACCATCCTAATGTTGCCTCCTGCCTGTAGGTGGGGAGTACCTTGAGTGAGGGAACTGGGAAGGGCTGGTCACCAGGCAAGGTCCCCCGGCTCCTTTCGTTGTAGGCTGACAGCACAGTAGTGGCTCCTGAGAAGAAGCTGCAAGAGCTGAGTTCTGGCTCATGGGGGCAGGAGGAGCTAGGGGGAGGGACAATAACCTGAAGGCAGGAGTAGCTCAAGTGTTAGCGCACCTGCCTAGCATACAGAGGCCTTGAGTTGGAACCTCAGTACCACAAAACAAAAAAAACTTGGCTTGTCACCTTGGCCACCACAGCTGCTCTAATCTAAAAACCACACCAGTCACTCCAAAATCCATCGTCTGGGTCAGGAGTGGGTTGACTGCCCGATGGCCGAAGTAAAATGCACAGAAGGTTGCAAGAGATCAAATCCTGAGAAGAGCCGACTATCAGCACAGAGCTACTCTGGGCAGCCTCTTTTCAAGAGGGAGTTGGGAAGGGGAGAAAGTGAGTGAGAGCCCTCCTGCCTCCGTCTCCGGAGTAGCTTGGACTACAGACGGGCCTCACATTTTTTATGGCTGAACTATTGCTGAAGGCTCTGGGTTCTATACCATCAAGAGGCTGATAGGGAGAAAGCTGTGGGGGGGGGGGCGGGTGGCTATGATGGGATCGTCTAGGAAAAAATGAGAGTTTTGCTAAAACAGGTTTCCCTTCCGTGGCTTCTCTAGTGAAAATTGGCGAGGTTGGGCGGGGTGGAGAAGTAAGGGTAGATGCCCGTGGGCAGAGCCTTGGAGGCTTCAGCCACAGCGTCGGCCTTCCCGCTGTCCAGCGGCAGAAGGCGCTCTGCGCAATCGCAGGCCCGCGGCCGAGCCGGCTCTGCCGACGCACTAGGCGCCGTTCTGTGTGGCAGTCGGGCCGGCTACTTCCTTGGCACCGCAGCGTTGCCGGGCTCCAGCTCCGCGGGGCGGCCATGGCGCGGCTCCCGAGGCTCGCCGTTTTCGATCTGGGTGAGGAACCAGCAAGGAGGGTTTCGGAGGGCGTTCTCCTTTTCCACTCCCCAGCAGCAGCTGAGTCCCTGCGCCCCCGAGGCTGAACCGTCCCCCTCCTTCCTCGTAGATTACACGCTCTGGCCTTTCTGGGTGGACACGCACGTAGATCCCCCGTTCCACAAAAGCAGGTGAGGCGAGAATAGGGAGGACTGGGGCCAAGAGGAACCCCGCCGGAGCTGAGTGCTCTCTCGCCCTCTCCAGTGATGGAACTGTACGAGATAGGCTGGGCCAGAACGTCCGGCTGTACCCGGAGGTACCTGCCGTCCTGGACCGATTGCAGGGCCTTGGGGTGCCCATCGCGGCCGCCTCACGGTAAGAAGGGGGACTGGCAACAATCCTGCTAACGCTGAAAGATATATGCACAAGGGCACTCTTCATGTAAACCCTTGGGAACAAAAATTTAGGAAGTGCAACTTTGCAAATATTTGCATTTTCCCCCCTAATTGTACCTCTCCTGTGCCTTTTAGTTTTTAAACATTGGCTCAGTCCCTGGTATATCAGAAGGTTGTGGGGCTGAACAGGGGCGAAGGATGCCTATCCATACTGGAAAAACAGCAAATTCGTTCGCCTGAGTTTTATTTAACGTGGTTTGTAGCCCTGGCCCTTCACTCCCCTAAAACCATCTATTATGGTTTTGCAGGACAGGTGAGATAGAAGGGGCCAGTCAGCTACTGGAGCTCTTTGACCTTGTCAGATACTTTGTTCATCGAGAAATCTATCCAGGCAGCAAGGTCACACACTTTGAAAGGTAAGCAGAGATAAGGGGAGGAGGAGGGGGGAGGGAGGAGGGAGGGAGGGGGAGGGAGGAGGGAGGGAGGAGGAGGGAGGGAGAATGCCAAGATGCCAGCTGGGTTATTCCTGCCCCGCGTTGCTCAGACTACAGCAGAAGACTGGAGTTCCTTTCTCCCAGATGGTCTTCTTTGATGATGAGAAGCGGAATATCGTAGACGTCGGCAAACTCGGTACTGAGCGGTGAAGGTAGCTATTGTGGAATGAGGACAGAGGGTTCCTAAAGAGGGATTGGGTGGATAAATACAGGGTAGATAGTCTGCATGATATGTGATACCCACAAAAGGAGAGCGTAATGATGGGGAGCCCTGAGAGCCTGATGAAATGTGATTACTTTTTCTTCTAGGTGTTACCTGCATTCACGTCCACAATGGAATGAGTCTTCAAACTCTAGCTCAAGGATTAGAGACATTTGCAAACGCCCGGGCTGGGTCCTGAGTTCCAGCCCTGTGCATCATCCTTATTTGAGGGCTAATACTGAAGGGAAATCCAAGAAGGCATTTTCAGGTGCACTTGTGATTATTAAAGTGTATCTGTGTGTGACGGAACAAATCTTACCCACAGTGTGAGTTGCTCCTATTTCTCTAGAGTGTTAACTGGGGTTGGTCGTGCCGTGGTGCCCACACCAGAGTGTGAGACATTAGGCTGCATTGTGTGTACATATAAACTGTGATTTCCTGGTACTAGAAGCCTTCCGCACCCGCTTTCCTGAGCTCTGTAAAGGGCGTAAAGACTGTCCTACTGCTCCATATAGTGAAGTGCCATCACACTGCACGGGGAACAAATTCTGTTTGGAGGTGGGGGTAAGGGACGGCCTTTTTAGGTAGTAGAAAAAGCGGCCGCTTTCAGAAAAACACCAGACCCTGGGGCTGGTGTGGCTGGTGGGACTGGTCACGTGACCGTAGTGCTTCGGTATGCGCCTCTCGATGACGTAGCCGGCGCCCTAAGGAGGGATTGGCTAAAGCCTTGCTTCTAAGCGATGAGACCCACCCTCCTGGGCGCGAGGCGGAAGCGTGGGGCGCGCCGAGGGGCGGAGGCGGGAGAAGCGAGGTCCGATCGCGATGAGTGGGCTCGGCCGGCTCTTCGGGAGGGGTGAGCCGGGGCGAGACCGAACCGCGGGAAGTACTGGCCGAAGCTGGTACGGGAGACCCCAGCCATGGCGAAGCCAGGCACATCTCTGGTGCCAGAAGGCTCCGCCTTGTCCGGGCGCCTGGCCCCAGCCAGTCTTCAACTCGAGATTCTAGAGGGGATGTGAGTGGAGGGTGTGGCGACAATGTACAGGCTTGGGAGGTCTAGTTTCCAGCCGCCTTTTTCCAGTCCTTTCCAAAACATCGATGCTTACTTTGTGCTGGGCAAGAGGGGGCTAGGTGAACAAGAAAGACTACTTCTTGAAGCTCTTGTCTGGAGGGGGAGGACAAGCAAGAACAGGCATTTACAGCGAAGAATGGCAATTAAAGTGATGGAGGGGGTTCCAAAAAACAGGGCAGTACAGAAGTTGGTGCTGGAGATGATGTTCCAGAAGCCAGCATTGTGCCAGGTGGAGCAGTGAGTTACTCCAGAAAGCAGTTACAGCCTTCAAGAAACAAAAAAGGCAGGAAAGAATACAGTATATTTTGGGAAAACAGGAGTCTGGCTACCGTGTGATGAACTGGGAGAAGAATAAGACAAAAGTGTGGATGAAGAGGCAAACAGCCAGATCATGAACGGCCTTGTATGTCTCCCTAAAAAAATTTTGGATTTTATCCTGTAAGCAGTGGATAATATGGAAGGATTTTTTTTTAAACTTCAGACCAATATCTTAATTTATTTTGCAGTCCTGCCTAGCAAGTGTGAGGCCCTGAGTTCAAAGCCCAATCGCTCTACCACTTGAGCCACTCCACCAGCAGTATGGAAGGATTTTAAACAATCAAAGGTCATTAAATTTTTATTTGGAAAAAAGGCTGTTAAAAGTATAGATGACCAGGTATGATTGTGCATACCTGTAATCTCAGGAGGCTAAGGCAGGAGGATGATGATTTCAAGGTCAGCTTGGAATGTATATGGAGACCCTGCCTCAAAAAGGAAAAAAAGGCTGGTCGCTAGTGGCTCACTCCTGTAAACCTAACTACTCAGGAGAAGGAGATCAGGAGGATCAAAGTTTGAAGCCAGCGGGGGCAAACAGTTTGCCTGACCCTATCTCGAAAAAACCCTTCAGGAAAAAGGGCTGGTAGAGTAGCTCAAGGTGTAGGCCCTGAGCTCAAGCCCCACTACCACACACAAAAAAAAAGAACCACAAAGAAAGATTGAAATCACTTTTTTTTTTTTCCACCCTCTTGCTCCTTATACTTCACTCAGTTTGACCATGAGGAGACAGGACCTTTGTCATCTCCTTGAACAGCAAATGGAATAGTGGTTATAAAAAAAGTGCCTGGAGTTAAGACACTAGTGCCTCCTGCCTGTAATCTTACCTACTTGGAAGGTTGAGATTGGGAGGATCATAGTTTGAGGTCAACCTGGGCAAACAGCCTGAGACCCTATCTCCAAAATAACCAGAGCAAACTGGACTGGAGGCGTGGCTGTAGTGGTAGAGTGTCTGCTTTGCAAGCATGAAGCCCTGAGTTGAGACTCCAATCTCAAAAAAAAAAAAAAAAATAATGGCTTTGGAAGTTATATTACCACATTTTTATTACTGCTTAATCTCTTAATTGTTGTGATTTTGCACAAAATTTTTTTTTAATTTTTATTTTATTCATATGTGCTAGACAAAATTTTTTAGACATCTTTGTCCTTATTTTCACATTTATAAAGTGAAGATAGTATATTCATTTTAGAGAATCATTTAGCAATAAGCAGTAACGCAGTTCAAGTGCCTAGCAAATCTTATGCACTTGATGATTGGTGGCTAATATTTTTTCTTACACAATGTGGGCCTGCTCCACTGGACTCTTTAGGGAAGAAGGAGAAGGAGCCAACCCCTGAAGAAGCAATACAGAAACTGAAGGAGACAGAAAAGATACTGATCAAGAAACAGGAGTTTCTGGAGCAGAAGATTCAACAGGAGCTACAAACAGCCAAGAAACATGGGACCAAGAATAAGAGAGGTAATGAGGGAAAGGAACCTCTGGGGAGGGCTCAGATAGGAAGCAAGAGCTTCTGACTCTGATGTTCAGGGTGTGGGCTGGATCAGCTGCCCTGCAGGCTTTACGCAGAAAGAAAAGATTGGAACAGCAGCTGGCACAAACTGATGGGACATTGTCCACCCTGGAGTTTCAACGTGAGGCCATTGAGAACGCCACCACCAATGCAGAAGTGCTTCGTACCATGGAACTTGCTGCCCGAGGCATGAAGAAAGCCTACCAGGACATGTGGGTATGGGGGGGAAGGGAGGAGGAGACCCAGGCTCTAGGGAGGGTTGCTTGCTAGCTATTATACTTTGAACTCTAACCTCTGGAGTCAATTTATGTGTTGTTTATGATGGCTAGACTTCTGTATTTGAAAGAAAAATCCTTTTGTTGGCTGGGGCATTCTAGGGAGGAAAAAAGTGGTTTCTCTAATTCTTATTCATCTTTCAGGGAAGTACAACTGTCCTCTCCAATGTGACGTCTTGCTATTTCTCAGCCAGACTGACCTCTTTACTTTTTTCCTGCCATGTGTTTGTCAGTGTGAATCCACAAGGCAGGAAGTGCTTCATTCCTGTAAGATGAGAAAGTCATCGGGGGTTGCCTCCTGATCTCTTGGATGCTTATCTTGTTCCCAGGGACATTGACAAGGTAGATGAACTGATGGCTGACATCACAGAACAACAGGAGGTGGCTCAGCAGATCTCAGATGCCATTTCTCGGCCTGTGGGCTTTGGAGATGATGTGGATGAGGTAATTGGGGGTGAGAGGTCAGGGACTACTGGAAAAAGCACAGGACCGCTTTCTCCAGAAAGAAGCCCAAGAGGCTCTTGGGTAAGTTGGGAGGGAACTCCAAAAATGGCCTGTTTTGGGAAGTGGAAACTTCCTTTCTTTGTCTTAAATAGTCTTTTTCATCCTATATCCAGGATGAATTGTTGGAAGAGCTAGAGGAGCTAGAGCAGGAGGATTTAGCCCGGGAGTTGTTAAATGTGGGCAACAAGGAGGAGGAATCCCCAGTCAATTTGCCTAGTGTGCCTTCTACACATCTGCCTGCAGAACCAGGTATCCAGACCTGTCATCTCAAGAACTTGAAAGGGTGGGAATGCTGGGGTAAGATTATTCCTTAGCCATCCTGCCACAAACGATCCAGGTAGAGGGCTGCTGTTGAAGTTTGGCTGGTTGTTGACACATAATGGCATCTGACTAAAAGGGCATGGGGACTGAAACTCAGAATCCAGCCTGTGCTCCACTCGGCAAGCTGTTTACCCCTGCTTTCGAGCTGCAAGTGTTAAACAAGAGGTCCCTTTTTCTAATTTGCACAAAGGTGCTATGGGAAGGAGCAGTAGCCCAGCGAGCAGAAGGACCATACCTTTAGGCTCTTTGCTGGGGAAAAATAATTCAGCAGATCTAGGTTTCACAGCAGGGGATATGTGGAAATTGCTGAGGCTTTAATATTTCTTTCTTTCTTTCTTTGGGTATTCTTGTCACCAAAGCTCCCAAGGTGGATGAAGATGAAGAACTAAAACAGTTGTCTGAGTGGGTGTCCTGAGGCATGTGGGCTTCCTACTGCTGCCTTCGTTTGTCCCTTTTCCTTAAGTGCCAAGTGCTAAGCTAAAGGAACATAGCTTTCTGGGGAGGTCCTGCTGAGGTGGCAGTACGACTCTTGTCTGAGGAAAGAGTCCATTGCCCTCCCATTCCAGGTTGACCTTTGAGGGATATTGCTGCAGAAGGAGCTCCCTTCTCTTTTAATAGCAGATACAGTCCCCTTGTTCCCAATAAAGTTGGGTAGATGGATCCCCAGTGTCTTTACTGTCTACACCAGAGACTTTCCCTGGTTTGTAGAGCCTTGTGTCAAGCAATAAATACAAGAGTAATGAAGTTGAAACAGAATAAATTGGTATTTCTAATATTTCAATCTATGTTCTGGGCAGACTTATTTTTCAAGTTGGTTTGTCTTAGAGTTGCCTAGTGCTCAAGTTGAGGAAACTGCCATCCTTATCTTAAAAGCATGGGGGAGCCATCTCTGAGTCTTCCTTATTGTTTTACTTCAGTTACATCTCTGCCAAGACAGCCCCATTTACCTTTTCCAAAGCACATTTTCAAGGTCAGGGAGAATAAAGGGATAGATGGGGCAAATAGCTTTCCTTTATCCAGGATACAGTTGATAGCTTTCACTGCTAGGTTTGGTTTGAGAGCTGGCAGAGTGGCTAAAGTGATAGAGTACCTGCCTCACAAGTGTGAGGCCCTGAGTTCAAACCCCAGCACTGACAAAAAAATAAAAAAGAGAAGGTTTGGTTTGAATTCTACCACTTCAATGTCTAGGAGCAATAGTTTAATGAGCCCTGAATCCTGGTATTGTTTCAATAATGGTTAAGGTAGCATTGGAGAAGGGAGAAGGAGGAACCAAGGTACTAAATACACCCTACTGTTCATTTGTGAAAGAACAAACAATACCATCGCTTTGTACTACAGACAGGCAGAGCTATGGTCAGTTGAACAACCAGAACCTTTGCCATATCCACTGCTTGAACATTTAGAGGACAGAAAGATGTAAAATAAAGACAAAGACCATGTACGTAGTGGGAATAATAAACCTTCCCCAAATTAAGTGTTCATATGAGTACTCCCTGTCCCAATGAGCTGCACCATGAATTTCACTGTTGACTTACATGGGTGTCAAGATTACTGATTACACCAGCTACTTGGAAGGCAGAGATCAGGAGGATCAGGGTTCAAAGCCATCCTGGGCAAATAGTTTGTGAGCCCCTATCTCAAAAAAATACCAAATACAAGTCAGGTGCCCATGGCTCACTCCTGTAATATTAGCTACTAGAGAGGCAGAGATCAGGAGGATCACATTTTGAAGCCAGCCCCTGCAAACAGACTATTTTGAAAAAATCCAACACGTAAAAGGTTGGAGGAGTGGCTCAAGTGGTAGAGTGCCTGCCTAGCAAGTGTGAAGCCCTGAATTCAAATCCCAGTACCACTGGCAAAAAAAATTACTGATTACAGGCTTTGGATATAAATCTACCTGACCCTCACCAGTAATGTTCATGACTAAGACTCACTTGAGAAAAGAATGTCTTTAACGCTTGCTAATGAAACATAACAGAACTGGGTTTATTTTTGTATAAGACTGTTTTTACCCCAAATCCTCCTACTGTGGCACCTCTCTTAGCCTCCTGCCTCAGCCATTTTCAGGTCGTGATTTCCAAGGACTGATGAAGATCAGTGGTGACAGCAGGCTGACACATGGCCTGGAGCAGCCTGATCTCGTGGATGGGCTGCTCAGGCTGGAACTTGAGCACCCAGGGGTCCTTGATGATGTCCAGGATGGTGGCCCGCTTGGCAGCTTGGCGCAGCATCTGGATGACCAAGTTCTAGGGCGGGGGAGAAGCCTTGACTGAGCTTGCATCCCCCCCCCACCCACATTGTGCCACACTGGCAACGAACAACTGGGTCTCAGAAAGAAGCAGGACAGCCCATCACACTACTCCGGGTGAAAAGGGCATGTGGCCCTAGTTTTACACTGAAGCCAAGCATTCCCTTCAAGACGGAGGAGCTCCCTGGGGAGAATCCCTTGCATAATCCCCTCTGGCTTAGAGAAACCAAAACTGGAAACTGCTTCTGAAGGCATTTAAGGTCTGGAACCCAGCAGTTGACCCATTAAGCCCTCCCCACTATTATTGGGCAGCACTAGAGTGTGAGATGGCTCTGGCCTGGGATGAGCTTTCCCCAGGGTTGGGAAGCCTAGGTTTGTATTTACTTCCCCTCACCCCCCACCCATGGGTCATTCCTAAGGCCTCAGCCCTTCTGGGGCTGCTAGCACCTTGCATTCCTGAGAGATGGTGTAGTTATCTGGGAAGGTGACTTCCTTCTGAGTCTCTTTCAGCAGCTTCTTGAGATTGCTGTCATCAAAGGGCAGACGGGCGACCACTAGAGTGTAGAGGATGACACCCATGCTCCAGGTGTCAGACAGGAAAGGGTTGTAGGGCAAGCCTAGCAAGATCTCCGGGCAGGCATAAGCAAAGCTACCACAGTAGGTCTGGCTGAGGTGGAAAAAGCAATTCATTTGGCGGTACGAAGAACTACTACGCACAGGCTGGTTAGAAGGCACCATCTTGGCGAAGCCAAAGTCCGATATCTTCACGTTCTCCCGCTTGTCCAGCAACAGGTTCTCCAACTTTAAGTCCCTACCAGCAGCAGAAAGGCTGGGGGTCAGGCTGGGGAGAGGGCTTAGTATTAGACCAGGAGCTGAAGGGCCAGGGGTCAGAGGCCAGAGATGAGGACAGGCAGAGTGGGAGGGAGATGCTGTTATGAGAACACAAGATAGTGAGGAAGAAAAGCCAAGTTGTGAGCAGAGCCCAGAGAGAGAATGGTACCTGAGGACCACTGAGAGTTCACCATTGTGTCATAAAGTGCTCTGCCCACAGTGGGTACTTTACAAGTATCCTTGATCAAATGAATAAAACAGATGGATGAGTGGGTCTAGATACTGAAGTCAAGGGAAGAAAAAAGGGCAGAAAATGGGCTATGTGGGTAAAACCCCCTTGAGATCCCAAAGGCCCCAGTCTGGTGGCCACACCCTCACCGGTGCACAATGCCCTTGCTGTGCAGGTAGGCGATGCCCAGGGTCATCTGGGAGAACCACTTGCCAGCAAGGGGCTCAGAGCAGGCCCCGTAGCGCTGGATCCATTCGAGGACATCACCACCCTGAGCCAGCTCCAAAATGATGTATACTCGGGTTGTGGTTTCAATGGCCTGATAGAAGTTGATGAGGTATTTGTGCCGCAAGACTTTCATTACCTGATCCCAGAAGAAGGAAATGGTCAAACCAGGCAAACAACCCTGGCTACATTCCCAGCCTTCTCCTACCCTTCCACTGCTACTTACTTGGAGCTTTGCAACAGATTAGACCCCTGAATTCCAGAGGGCTGGTGTCTGTGGGTAAGCCCACTTTTGGGGGTAGGACTGGAAGTGAGTGAGTGGGTGGGAAACAGGTTGAATATACATCAGGGAGTTCTCCCAGCTGCTTAATGAGACACTTAGTTCTAGTTGGAGGGTCTCTAGCTCCACCTTCTCCTTAGCCATACCCTTCCAGGGAAACTTCAAACAGCTTAGTACTAAGCTCCAGTTCTCTCTTCTAGCCCCCTCTTCTGACCTGTATCTCCCGGGGCAGGAACTTGTTAAGATAATCATCAGAGGCCTTCTTCTTTGAGATGATCTTGATAGCCACCATGACCTTCTGCTTTGTGTAGTAAGCCTCATACACAGTCCCATAGGAGCCATTGCCAATAACCTTGCCCACCTCGTAACCATATTCCTCCGTGACGGAGCGATGGGCTGGGGTGGCTGGAGTCTGTGCCTCAGAGGCATCTCCCTTCCCCATAGTGTTGGGCTTGCTGAAAGCACAGAGCTTTGCCAGTTAGAGACCTGTCTACTCAGAGGCCAATACCTTGAATCATTGAAGGCCAGGATATGAAAGTGAAGCTAGTCTCTGAATGCCTGCCTTTACAGTCACACAAGTCTGCGATGCTGGGCCCAGCCTTCCACTAAGAACTTAAGAGAATGGAAGAAAGGAGTTCTTTTTGTCTCCATTGGCTGTTGTTACTTCCACCTCTTGGTTACGGAACTCCCCAAATTCCCAAGTTCTGTACGCGTCATAATCCACCTTCCACACATTATTAGCCACAAAACTTGAGAATGAAGTGCAGTTTGGATCACGCTCATTCCCAAAGGCACATACATTCTGCAATCTGGTGATACTCTCCCATGGATCTGAACCCTTTACTCATGTTTGCTGAGTACCCATTGTGTCAGAGAATGCACTGAACACTAAAATAAACTAACCAACAAGGCCAATAGAGATTTTATGCTCCTAGGTTTTATAACCCAGCATGAGAAATTAAGAGTGTGTTATAAAGAATTGCAAGGTGCTGAAATGTAGTCTAGGAATTAAACCTTGAAATGCATTTTTGCTTTTCATGACCCTAAATTTTCTAGTTTTTTCCCACCCTCTGATAATTCCTCCACTGAAACCTCATCTTACTCCATTTGTCCTTTTTTGTGTGTCTGTGGTGGTAGTGGTGCTGGGAATTGAACCCAGTGCCTTGCATATGCTAGGCAAGTGATCTACCACTGAACCATATCCCCCAGCCACTCCGTCTATCCCTTAATCATATTGCAAAGGTTGTCATAGGCCATATTTTCTCAGTCCTCCCATCCTCCCTGAAGATCTTACACTCGCAAAGCTTCCATGATCACATTTATGCCGACTGCTCCTAACCACTTCTGTACCTGTTATCAGTGGAGTTCCGATACAGTACACATTTGCTCACTTGCCAGCACAGACAAGTCTTTCCTAGGCACCTCAAGCTCACCATGTCCAAAGCTGAACTATTCTTTATCTCTCTGTAAGTTCTATTCTAGCCCTCAGTTTAGATATCCAGTATCACCCAGATCCATCCCCAAGGATGCAGGCCTTGGTCCCTGAGTCCAATCTATCACCAAATACTGTCCTTTTGACCTCTTAATTATTAATAATGCACTCAAGGTCCTCCATGCCCACTTCTACCTCTTTAGTTTAAACCTCCATCATTTAGCTGATTACCCTAAATAAGTCTGCTGTTTTCCCTCTAGTCTGTTCACCCTGAAGTTCAAGATCAAGACATAAATCTGATTTTATTCCCACTTATAACACATTGTCTCCCTATTCTCAGGATCAAGTTCTTTCACTTAGCTTTAAGATGACACTACCTACTGTTCCAATTTTATCCTTTTGTTTTAGTTTTTAAGAAAGGGTCTCACTATGTATCCAAGGCTGGCCTCAACACCCTCACCCCCACCCCATGTACTCCAGCTGGCTCAAACTCAAAATCTTCCTGCTTCTACCTCCCAAGTGCTGGGTTGATAGGCATGTGCCACCACATCTGGCTTGTTTTTTTTAAGAAAGGGTCACTAATATAGACCAGGCTGGCCTGCAACTCAGGATCTTCCTACCTCAGTCTATAGTCCAGTTTTATCTTTTAATACATACAAAATGCTGGCCAAATAGAATTAGCTCCCCATCTTTGTTCTCTCTGTTCTGGCAAACTCCTACTTTTCCTTTAGAACATTTTTTTAGGCTTTTTTTTTTCAATACTGTGATTTGAACTCAGGGCTTCACGTTTGCTAGGCAGGCACTCTACCACTTGAGACACACTGCCAGCCCTTTTTTATGTTGGATATTTTCAAGATACAGTCTTGAACCATGATCCTCCCGATCTCTGCTGAATAGCTAAGATTACAGATATGAGGTATCAGCCACCAATGCCGGGCTTGTATAAGATGTTTTTTCCTTCTGGATATTCCCACAGCCCTGATACTTTCTCAGCTAGAATGCTTAATAGTGTCCATAATTGCTTTTCTTGCCTGCATTTCCTACTAGGCTGTGCAGGGAGGTCAAGTGATGAGAAGAGTTGAGCTAGAGGTCTGAAAAGAATGGATTATAGAAAATGGAAAGGTGCTGGTTTGGATGAGCAGAATTACATGGCAGCACTGAGGACCCAAATAAGCTTGGAAAACACAACTTATAAACATATAGTTTATAAGTTCTTTTAGCATCTTGGCTACAGGTACTTGAACATCAATGGATGGTTTAGCCTAAGATTAGTTTTGCTTGGAAGCTGCAATGAAACAATGGGAGAGAGACATCCAGAACACAGGTAAGAATGTGGCTGAAAATGATGGAATGTGAAATCTAAGATGCACAGACAAGGAAGAAAAGCCAGAAACACACCAAGACTTGCAACTTGGTGCAAGTCTCAGGGAATGGCAGAACAGGTTAGTGGGAATGACAGAGTAAAAAGGATAAGAGGTTGTGGTCACAGAGGGGTTTTTTCAATTTAAGATTTTGTGGGGCAAAGCAAGAACAAGGGAAGGATTTGAAGTTATATCTTCTATCCTCCAAAATAAAACAAAAAATCCAAGATCAGGGCTGGGGGAGTGGCTCAAGTGTCAGAGCACCTGCCTAGCAAGTGCAAGGTCCTGAGTTCAAACCCCAGTACTAAAAATAAAATAAAAATCTAAGAACAGATTATTCCACAAGCTTCTGGTAAATGCCCACTTATTGACAGTCTGACACTGCTGACAGGGTAACTCCAAAGTTCTGTTGGAATTCAGCTGTACATCTTCAATCCAGTAAGAACAGTTGTCGAAGGCACACCATGGTAAGAAGGCCCAAGCAGTCCTACCCATCTTTTGCTGCTAAACTGACCCTAATAGCATAGTGACCGCTCTAGTTTTTCATTACATATGCAGGGTACACCAGTTCATTCAAAGAATGTTTATTATGCTGCCTAGTATATACAAAAACATTGGCAGGTCTTGAAGATTAAAAGATGGATAAATTACAGTCTCCTTATCAGGAGCTACCAAGGGAAATGTACATAAGTTGTTGGGGTCCGAGGCCGGCCACCTTCCGAGAGGACAAAAGACACTTGCGACAATGTAAGCCACAAAGTGAGGTTTATTTCTAGCTAGCTAGGGTCAGATTATCCCCCCGACGCAGCAGGTTTTAACAAGGACCCCGAATGCAAAGTTCAAGCAGGTTTTATACTCTCGGAAGCATCAATCATTGTCACATGGGAATTTTTCATGGCTCCTGGGGTCACATTTTTCTGACATTGCCCACATCCTGATGGTGGGGTAAGATTACTTATTAGGAACTGGGAAAAAACACCAGACGTTTACTTATCAGGAACTTGAAAAACACCAGATGTCTTAACATATTGACTCACATACCGTTCAGCAAGATCAATCAGAAACAGTCCCTGTTCCCAGAAACCGTTCCACCCCCTTTTGTTACTCAAGGGTCATGCTAGTTATGGCTGGTTTGAGGCTAAGTGGGCTGCAAGTCAAAGGTACCCTAACAAAGTAAAATAACCATGCAGTGAGATGAACTGCTATGAACAAACCTGGAAGAAGAGGTAAGGGAAGGCTTATTTGCACTGTTCAAACAAAGGAGTTCTCCAGGCAGGTAGGTAAGGAATGGTAGATTGGGCAGCCTAGGCAGGAAGAACAATATGAAGAGAGAGAATGACAGCCAAAAATTCAATTTAAATGCAGGATAGGATTCCAAAAAGTAAATATACCTGGAGAAGTATTTGAATCCAGGTCTGAGAAGCCTCATATGTCAAGTTCATTTAAACTCGTTCTATATACTCATGGTCAAATTTTGTTGTGCATCAAAACTGGAGTTGTTTTTTAAGGTAGTGACAGCAGTAGCACTATGCTCCTTTGCCTAGCTGCCCACCATTTTCTTCCCCTTTAAATGGCGTCCTAACAAATCCTTGTTTTCTCCTAAAAACACTTCAGAACTTTCAGAACACTTTAGGAAGTTCAGCACTTCCTCCCCTGAGATCCTGATTTTTAAAAATCCTTCCAGTCACAGTATGAAAAAAATGATCCAAGGGGAAGGGGACCAGAAGACTAGTAAATTGGCTGTTATAGTTATTAAAGTGAGAGAGGATGGGCCCTTTACCAAGGAAATGGTGGAGGGCAAATATTAGAAGATATTTGGGAAATAAGTGAGGGAGCCTGATGGCACTGATATCTGAGGGAGAAGTAATGAAAAAGACTCTGATTTCTGGCTTTAGAGACTTGGTAGTTGCAGGTTAAAGATTATTCCAAACCCAGGGCACCACTGAGGGTGGAAGCCTGTACGCCTATAAGTCCCAGCTACTCAGGAGGTTGAGGCAGAAGAATCACCTGAGTTGGAGTTCAGGTCAGACTGTACAACAGAGCAAGCTCTCCTAAAAAAATCACTGTCTAAAAAACTCAACTCCCTACCTCCCGGAATCTCACCTGTCCACAGGAAGAATGGCTGGGTCAGAAAAGGACAATCATCATAAAAGTGGGTAAATGAAGGGCTGTTCAGCCCAGAAGCCGCATTTCCCTCAATACTTTTTTTTTTTTTTTCCCGGTACTAGGGTTTGAATTCAGAGCCTTGAGTTCGCTACCAGCCCTTTTTTGTCACTTTTTTTTTTTCCTACTTAGGATCTTGCGAATTATCTGCCCGGGCTGGCTTCGAAACGCCATCCTCCTGAGTAGGTAGGATTAGACGCGTGAGCCACGGCGCCCGGCTACCCTCAGTACTTCTTATACCGTGGGAAAAAATCTTAAGCCAGCTTCCTCACACGGTGCTTGCTCCCCGGGGACCAAGCGGAAGTCACCACCTAGAGGGACTACCCCGATGGCAGATCGCTTGTAACATAGCTGACAGAGAAGAGCAAGCTTTTGCAGGATATTCTGCAATACAAAATTAAGAGAACACCACACACATCCACACAGGGGCAAATAACAACAAAAGCATCGAAAAAGAAGAAGGGACAAGATTATTCACCTCCAATTAATAACCCCGTCGATCCGTCCACTCGCGGGGTAAAAGGGCAGACACACTCGTCCCCGCGTGCCTCTGCTCCTGCTCTGCCTTGCTTATCTACGGCCATCGAAGCCTCCACTATAGCCTCGGGACGATAGGTTTACGAATTTATTCCTTGGGAGCGGAGCTACTGGTGACAGGTGGAAGAGGAGTGAGGAAAGTGTGCGTGGGAGCGACGCGTAAAGCC